TATGTATATATATATATGTGTATATATATGTATATATATATATGTGTGTATATATATATATGTGTATATATATGTATATATATATATGTGTGTATATATATGTATGTGTATATATATGTATATATATGTATATATATGTGTATATGTATGTGTATATGTATGTGTGTATATAAACTAAGACTAGAAGTGGTTGTCAGTTAGTTTATCTTAAGTCATTTGACAAAGAATTTACTGATGTAATTTAGGCAGCAAAATGTCAAACTTTTACTTTAAATTCAACTTGAAACAAAACTGTACTGCTTCAATTGTCCCCAGTCGATCGACAGCTTCACCAGAACCCCCCTTAACATATTTAAACACCATCTTTTTCAACACATTCCCCGTTTTGTCATTTTGCCATCCAGGTGTCCTTCCAGCACGAGTCCTACCCAGTAGCAGTAGCGGGGCCGTATGGAGAGGGGCCAGTGGCAGCGGGGTTTGGTCCTGGTTGCGAGCAGCTTCTCTCCAGGCAGGTGTTCATTGTCCAGGAACTGGAGGTTCGAGACCGACTGGCCTCCTCACAACTCAACAAATTCCTCTACCTCTACACCAGCGAGAGCATGCCTCGCCGAGCCCACTCCAACATGGTGAGACAGCTGAGAGGGAGGGACGGGGATGACGAGGACAGACACAGGGAGACTTTGGTTTATTGACTTGCTAAATGACAGATTTTCTGTGATTTCAAATTACCTGACTGAGACCAAACCATCTTTTATATCAGGAGGACTTGATTAAAGACAAATTATTGATTATTTCATTCATATGATATCGATTGTGTTTTGTTTTTGTAGCTGACAGTGAAGGCCCTGCAGGTTTGTCCAGAGTCTGGGCTCGGTGGACCAGAGTGTTGTCTTCGAGTCAGCCTGCTGCCTCTAAGACTTAACATCGACCAGGTAACTCCGACTCCTGACACAGAATACTAAAAGTGGAATCTTTTCCATCTTTAGTCGAGTGTGCGACACCCAAAAGCGGCTCAGTAGAGCCTGAAATGAAATGGTGAATGACTCTGGTTCTCAGTTTTAAGTTTTACTCAAAGCTCTTCTGTGAATGCTTCAGTCCTGAGAAGCATACAACTCAGTTTGCAAAAATGTTTTATCATATTAACGTGGCAATCAGAAATGACTGCATTCTCACCAGCACTAGAACTGTATTGGATTGGAGGAAACATGCAACTACTTCCACATCTAACCAGCCTTCTTTTTCTCTTGTTCAGGATGCACTGTTTTTCCTGAAGGACTATTTCAGCAACCTAGCTTCCTTTGTTAACCCTTACCTTCCTGTGGACCCTGCGACTGAAGGTGAGCTATCTCTGAGGAGGATTTGTTAAAATGATTTTCTGCATATTTCATCAATTGTCTTTCATACTTCACATATTAAGATTTTAAACAAAATGTGTCATGTATACACTGTAGCATGATTCATTTTAACTGGCTGCATGTTTCAATGATTCTGTAGCTTATTTTTTAGCTTGTTTGACGTTTGATCCTGTATTTATTTGACGACACGCTCTGGTGAATATGTATTTATCTATTTTTCTCCCCATTTATTCTTCAGTGAAGGCAGACCCCTCCCAGAAGGCCTCTGAGGAGGCAGAGTCTGCCGCTGGTCTGGGTCCTGACCTCGCAGCTTCTGTGGAAACTACCTACAGCGAGCAGAGCTCCTCCTCTGCCGGCTCCACCTCTTCCGCCGACCAGCCAATCTACTTCCGGTACGTTAACACCGATTCCCCCGACTGCTTCGTGAAAGTCTGATTCTGCTTTTACAACCGGACAGAAAATTAAAGTTATGTGTTACAAACAATAACGCTTGTTTGTAGGAATATAGTTGTGAAAAATAATCACTGATAATTAAGGTTTAAAATGTTAATGGTATGGTCTTTCTCTTCCTCTCCTGCTATTTTCAGGGAGTTCCGATTCACCTCTGAAGTGCCTATCTGGCTGGACTATCAAGGCAAACATGTCGTCATTGAACAGGTGAGAGGTCACTCAAACAGCTCATCTGTCACTCAGCGTAACCAAACACTTATATTAAAGAAATCTGTTGGATTTCTGTGTATTTGATCAGGCTGATAATTGTCCAGGCTGACGGTTCACACTTCTTCTGTCCTGCTCTGTGTTTCACAGGGAACGTTTGCAGGGATTCTGATTGGTCTGGCCCAATTAAACTGTTCTGAGTTGAAGCTGAAGAGGCTCTGCTGTAGACACGGGTAGACATCCACACTTCCATACACACACATCTCATCGATATTTAGTCATTTGAGACTAGATCACCATGTTTTAAATGCAAAGTTTTCAGTTGTGAGTTTCTTAGTCTGTCTTCTGAAACACTTTCTAGTCTCCTCGGAGTGGACAAAGTGATCCAGTACGCCGTCACAGAGTGGCTGACGGACATCAGGAAGAATCAGCTGCCGGGCATTCTGGGAGGTGTTGGCCCCATGCACTCAGTGGTCCAGCTGTGTGAGTCTACACTACTCCAAACACACAGCTTTAACATTTACATGTTCTTTATCCTGTTTTATCTCTTGGTTCATTTCTTTCTATCTCTTTGTGTTTCTCCAGTTCATGGAGTGAGGGATCTGTTCTGGTTGCCGATAGAGCAGTACAGGAAGGATGGACGCATTATTCGAGGTCTCCAGAGGGGGGCAGCATCATTCGGCACCTCCACAGCTTCAGCTGCTCTGGAGCTCAGCAACAGGCTGGTGCAGGCCATACAGGTACTCTGTCTGTGAAGGGTTTTCAGTGCAGGTCACGACTGTGAATGAAAGTTATTCAGCAAATAGATTTGGACCATGGAATTTATTTTAGGTAGCGCAAAAATTGTAAGATAATTTGTTGGAAGGATTTCAGGATAAGCAGGGCCTCGGGTATGCGATGCCTGATGTCTGTCTGCTTCTCTTACAGGCCACAGCAGAGACGGTGTACGACATCCTGTCTCCAACTCCACCCCTGAACCGCTTTGCCATCACGGAGGGCTGGGCTCCCTCCAGCCGGCCCCGCAGAGCGGCTCAACCCGCAGATCTCCGAGAAGGCGTGGCCAAGGCTTACGACACCGTCAGAGAGGTGCGTCCCCAAACTTACCCTCTCTGAATTGATTATGGAATCTTCTGAAGAACAAATAATCCAAAAAATATCCAGTCACATGAGCGTATGTGTGACACAGCAGGAGGTTGAATGGAAAGATCATAATACGTAGTGATGCATAGTGTATGTAAACAGTTTATCGATCAATTGACAAAGTATTTCCTGCACAACCTGACTTCTGGTTTCTTGAGTGCATGTCCATAAATGTACTGAAACACTAAATATTTTTGACTAATCTCTCCCTGGACTCTGTCTCTGCTCTCCAGGGAGTGATTGACACGGCTCAGACCTTGTGCGATGTAGCATCCCGCGGCCATGAACAGAAGGGTCTGCCCGGCGCTGTGGGCGGCGTCCTGCGGCAGATCCCGCCCACCGTGGTCCGACCGTTAATAGTGGCCTCTGAAGCCACTTCCAATCTGCTCGGTGGCATGCGGAACCAGATCAAACCAGATGCCCGGAAGGAGGATTTCCTGAAGTGGCGCACTGAGGGTGGTCAAGATTGATGACAACTTTTTTTTTTTTTTTGTCTGTGTGAGAGAAAAAGTGTGTGTGTGTGTGTGTGGGTGAGAGAGAGGGATTATGATTTGGAGAAGTCTTAGTTACAAGAGCGAATCCAGGGTCTGAATGTGTATTTGCATGTGCGTATGGACTGAGAGTCGGTGTGCGCTCCGATGCAACGACTAACGACTACTGCACATTTTGACGCCCAGTGTTTTATTTGGCTCCATCATACATGGACTTCAACAGATTTAATCTGTCTGTTTTGCATCCAGCGAGAGCTCTCGTCATATTCCTCCCCTCAGTAATACACCAGTCTGCAGATTCTCCTTACTGTCTGTGCAAACATATCACTGTCACTCTCAACTGGCTTCATTTTCAATCCACCCAAGGATTATCCCTCTCAAGGTTTTCTGTGGTCATAAGTAAGACACAGATTGTGGGCACTTCGTGTACTCGTGTATTGTGCTTCTTGAAACTGTATTCTAATTTGAATTAGTTCTGGCATGATTTCATCTTCTTCAAAGGTCTATGGGGGGAAGAAATAAGAGCAAGAGGAGGGTGAGCTCACCTTCTCTCTTAGTATTCTAAATCACCCATCACAAGCTGAAAACAGGGTTTTCTTCTTTTTTGGGTGCAGTGTGTGTGATGAACCGACACGTGATGTGACTCGAGCTTTCGTCTATTAGTCGTCCAGTGAAGCTCATAGTGGAGACTGGGAGGATATTTAAATGAAGTGTCCTTTGCTAACACCCTCCAGATGGTTTCCAACCAAACTTCAAAACGCCTCGTCATTGGTTCAGCTTTGGTCCCACTGTGCGCCTGCTTCTCTCAGCGCTGTTATTCGTGCCATAAACCTTGCAGAGTGCCCTTTTTATGTAGTTTGTATTGCCTTCCTCAAACCTGCACCCTCCCTGCTACTGTACATGTATTACACATACTGGCTCACATGGATACATACCTGACTGAGAACAAGTTTCCTGACTGAACAGAGACACGGATCACACAAAGCCTCTAAACTCTGTTGCACATTGGATTCTTTTAAAGCTTCGCTAAGTTGGACTTCAGACATCTGCCACTCACAGTAAACCGTCCAGATGTCAGCCAGTTGTTCTTCCTTCTGCATTACAGCTCATTTGTGCTTCTGTTTCCATGAAGAGTTAGACTGAGATCTGAATTTACTTACTGTCTTCAGAATCGCTTTGCCCTCTTCTATAGTTGCCTTCCTGCATTTTTCAGTTTCTTTATTTGTTTTTTATTCTGTTAAAACTTACTTGTTAAACTTGTTAATTATTGTCATAATCATTTTCAAAATTAGCTTTGAGAGGATGTGAATCTTGTGACAACGGAGGATGAAAAATCGGGGGTTTTACATTTTTATCTTATTATTTTTTGTTTAATAAGTGTAAGGGACATGTGTGTGTGTGTGTGTGTGTGTGTGTGTGAGTGTGAGTGAATGAGTGTTTGTGTGTGTGCGCGCATGATGCATGTCTGTGAGGGTGACGGGTTGAAGCTTGTTACATCTCTTGTGTGTAATTACCATTTATTATATCATAAACTGTATGAATGACCTGTATAATACAAAGACGAGGAGTATACAAAATTAATACAAAAAATAAAAAATCTGATTTATAAAAAGTGAAAGCCATCTTTGCCTGACATTTTTACTGCTTATCACCAACATGTTTGTTATGGCTGTTATAGTTACACGTATGTTTACTCTAGTACCTCACTAAAGTAGCCTACAGGTTTGTGGCACTTCAACTTTACATATGATCGACTGAGATATGACCAAAACTACATGTAATTGTTAATTTTCAATGTTAACATGTTCATGCATCAGTAACAAGAGCCCAACAATGTAATAATTATGATAATATTCCTTTGCAAACTATACTGAGAATACTGTTTTTTTCTTATTTGTTTGTGGATTATTGTTGTTTATAATGGGGCAGGTTTAAATATCACCCAAAAAGCTATTACAGTATATTACACTGGCATTATGAGTTTGTATAAAGTAAATAACACTGAAGGGACTACTACAAAGACACACATTGACACTAAACTAAATAACTGATATTACCAAGGAACCAACGGTGGTGGAGTTAACGTTTCGGGGAACTGTTTTAGCGATGCAACAACGGCACTTCCGGTCCACATGTAAACGCTACAGCGTGATTTAAACGTACATTACAGACTATCTGTGTACACTTACCAGAAAACTATCGTCAAACCAGCGACTGTTTGTAAAGATGAAGCTGCTCACGCACAACATGTTGACATCTCACGTGAAGGGAGTCACTAAAGGATACCCGCTGCTCATCAAGGTAAACTGTCAACACCCGACTAGCTACATGCTAACGCTAACACTTAAGACCTTAAAGCATCACATGGTTTCAATGTCCTGCTGTGTCTTATGTTTGAGCTCAATGCCACATGAACTGTATCACTGAACATGTGCTAGTTTGACTCTCTTACAACCTGTAACGTTCAATAACAAGCTACCTAGCGGTTAGCAAGCCAGCACCAGGGGTTAAACATTTTGATACCTTTTTGCTACCTAGTGCATTATATTTACCTTTCGCCATTTAATTTGAGTTTCTGAATTCTCAATGTGAAATATATTATATAGTGCCCTCAAAAATACACTCAACGGAAAGAGAAAACTTAACATGTACACTACAGTTTTTTTTTACTAAAAATGCAATGCTTAAGATGTGTAAATGACAAGTATGTGACACTATACTGTACCTGTTAGTAACATATAATGTGAGGGAAATCTCAATTTGCTGCTCCCTCTAGACTAGAGTAAACTATGGATTACAGGTGGTGTTGTTTTGTCAGTAATGGCGTCATGAACAAATGGCAGAGGAAGTGATTTTGAAGGACTGCTACTGTTTGACGACCCTGCATTTCTACACTAATGGACTGTGTTGTCTCCTCCTGATTTGTTGTCTTTGTGCAGGCGACCGAGGTGAAGGTGAACGAGGTGGACTTCAACGCTCAGTTTGTCAGCCGGATGATCCCCAAACTGGAGTGGAGTGCTCTGGTCCAGGCTGCAGAGGAGGTGAGTCGGACTGCAACAGAGAGACTGTCGCAGCTTGTAATATCTCACGTGATAAACGTGAATATTGGTAACATTTTGGAGCATTCCAGAGAGACATGGCAAAGCTTATATGCCGTTAAGTAGCTCTCAATATAAGCAACGGCATTATTTGATGTGGAACAATCCATCAATTTGAAAAGGAGTAAATATATTTGTTTAGTTTTGTTCTGTTATTTTAGTTCAACTAGGAAATGAAGTGGTCAGCACTCACAAAAGAGTATGTAGCACTTAATGATGCACAGCATTAGAAGGAAACAGACCCGTTTCAGCGCTGTGCTTCGCGTTTCCGACACATTTGTGAGTATGACTCTTAAACAGCAGCCAGGAGCCTGCTGCAGATTACCAACCAGCTGACACAGATCATCAAAACCACACAATCAAAAACCAAATCTTCTTGCTCACATAGCAAAACCTACAAGGAGAGTTCAATAGGTAGACAGCAAATGTCCCTGACTTTCATATTGTTTTCATGTAAAACATGGCTTCCTATGATCATGGCATTTACAACTAACACAGTTTGAACAAGGAAAATGTCCTGTGGGGGGAGAGAGCGAAGAACATCTGTGGACCCGATATAGAGATCTATCTTTATAATTCTCTACCACAAATTACTTCGCAGTGACTATGGGAGGGTTAACAAACTCTCAGCCAACGATGGGGTCACTATACAGAATATACCGATGTTTTCTTCCCGCACTTCAAACCGCCTGAGAGACAACAGACAGGAGGAGAATTAGGTGCTAAAAGGCTGTTACTGTCTTTTTCCTGAGCCTTTTTTAAAGCATTTCTTTTCTTAGAAACAGACACATTAGCCTCTCTCTAATTTCTCCGCAGAGCTGCACATTTTTTTGTTTTTAACAGTTGACTGTTCTTCACTGACTCCGCAGTATACAGTTAGCAGTATTACATCACTGAGGTGTTAGTCTCTGTGTTTTTGTTCTTTACGGTCTTGTTAACCAGCAGGTGGAGAATATGTCATGGTGTCTTCTGCCACCCAGTAACACCCACCAATTAATTTACAACTGCCCAGTTTTGAACACTTGTGTGTTGTGTATATATGTTACTACATCTTTTCCCTCTTTAGTTGGGTCACCGGCAGGACCTGCCGGGTGAGCTGGTGCCAGAATACGAGAACAACGAAGAATTCCTGAAGAAAGTGCACAGAGTGCTTTTAGAGGTAAGAAGCTCGCAGTGATTCCTGTCGGGACTGGTGGGTGTTTATGACCGCTGTGGTATTTATTACCACCGTAGACCCGTAACTAACCATCTCCAGTATCAGTTACTCTGCAGATTGATTTCTCAATTACTTCATTCATCTTTTGGTCTTAAAAATAGTTTTTGTTGACTTCATCAGATGTCTTGTTTTGTTCAACCAACAGTCCGAAACCCAAAGATATTTAGTTTTACGATGATATAAATCAGAGAAAAACATCAAATACACACATCGGAGAAGCAGAGAATGTTTGGCATTTTTACTTAAAAATGACTGAAACTATCTATCTATTATCAAAATACATAGTTTTTTGATCAACTAATCAATTTCCGGACTACTTGGTGCAGCTGTTCTTTTCCACATGGTTACAGAGATCTTGTTTTGGGGCAAATATTTAAATTCACAAGTTGTTTTGGCTCTTTGATTTTTTTTATTTTCAGTGAAACCGATAAACAAGCATGCAACGATTTTTAAAATTGTCTTGGTCCTTCTCCATTCTTGATATTATCTGCCATGTGGGTTCCAGCAGTGTTTGCTACTCTTGTGTCACTTAACACAGTCAATTAATCATTAAGACAGTTATGGGATGTCTTTGTGTACTTATTTTGGATCAAACAACTGAGAATATTGACTCTCTCAGTATCATCGAAAGGTACGGTCGGCACTTCACATCCTGGTTCTATTACTGGCAATAGCAATTAGCAGCGAAGCTTTCATGTGGTTGTTTACTGCACAGTGTCTCGTTTTTCATAACTGCACCACGTCCATTCAGCGGAAGACGGTGCCATTTATGTAGAGATCAAACACAGGAACTAAAATTATTTAGCTTGAGACGTTATTCTAACCCCAATATGTACACTGCATGTTGGCTCCCGAACAGTAATGTTAAACAGACGGCACTTATATAATGCTTTACACGTTGCCTCTCACTCACACACTGATGGCAACAGAGGAGCCAGGGATCGCACCGTCAACCCTGTGATTAGCGGACGACCTGCTCTTCCTCCCCGAGCCACAGCCGCCCACCATGTCAGAGCCACTTTGTGCAGCAGTGACAGCCTCCATTGTTCTGGGAAGACTTTCCACAAGATGTTGGAGCCTGGCTGCAGCGAGGTCCAATACTGGGCCCAGTTCATCCCGAAGGTGTTGGATGAGGTTGAGGTCAGGGCTCTGTGCCGGCCAGTGAAGTGATCCACACCAAACTCTGCAATCTATTTCTGTATAGACCTGGCTTCATGTTGAATCTGGAAAGGGGTTTCCCCAAAACTGTTCAAACTATTTTTTTGTAAACAAAGGTGATGTTATCGAGTTGTCCCCATCAAAGCACATTTTGTAAACCTTTGATGTCTAAAAAATGTGTTGAATGCATTTCCTTCCTCATAAAAGTATATTTAAATTCTTCATTGTGTGCGTTACGGTTAACTTTCTTGCAGTCTTCTTCTTCACTGCCCTTTTTTAGCGTAGTGCTGCATTTCTTGGCATCACTGTCGCCTGTAGATAACTTTAATGTGGCACCACTGGCAGGACTGTGTATGGCATGCATGAGATCAACAAAACGGGGCCGCACTCTATAAAAACAGCACCTCCATAGCTCTGCTAGTAAAACTCCAGAGGGTACCATTATTGGTGAGGTGCTAAAAAAACAGGTTTCGTGTAATGCTGACAGGTGTTGATTGGGCTGGTTACTTCAACTTACTTATAGTCTATTAAGTTACACAACTATTATTAAACTGTCTTTATAGAATCATATCTTTTGTCCTTTACCACAGCCCAGTGGTCGGGAACCACTGGTCTAAAAATTGTTGTTCACTGCAGCATTTAAGATTTTCGGTAATTGGAGCTAAAACGCCTGGGACAAACCAAAAGTATGGTGACAGGGGTGTCCAAACACTTTTGTCCATACAGTATATGTTGCTCTACGGTCTCTCACCTCTCGTCTTGCTCGTGTGTTCTGCAGGTGGAGGTGATAGAGGGCTCTCTGCAGTGCCCTGAATCCGGAAGAGAGTTCCCCATCTCCAGAGGAATCCCCAACATGTTGCTGAGCGAGGACGAGGTGTAGATGGCAGCTTCGCCAAGTCAACGGTTCTCACACGCAACCTCACCCCAAGCTGTCACTCGGCTGGGATTGTGGGTATTCAGAGAGAGGAGAGAGGTTGGACTTAAGTTGGTGCCATGAGAACCACACTGTTTAGTTGATTGTTGTTATGACATTTAAGTGGCTGATGCTGCCAATAGAGGAAACAGTTTTGAAGAAGAACGGATGGAAATGTTCCCAGAGTAACCCCCAGTGGTTTTATCTGTATTTATTTTTGTTACTGTTTGGGGTTCTCTCTTTTTTTTTTTTTTTTTTTTTTTCCAATAAAACTGTCCTGATTTCCACGACAGCCAAAATTGTTTCAGGTTTTTGTGGAAAATATGGATTTGCTTCTATTACAGACGTACTAAAATATAAAAGCCCAGAGGCTCCATGAGTGAGAGGCCGGCTCTGAGCCTCATCTCGCCCTCTGTCCGGGTTTAAAGTGCTGAGGGCCAGATGACGTGGCAGTGGCTCGTCTATATTTGGCTTTGAGGAAAAGAAGCAGAAAAAGCAGGCCGGCTGGAAGTTGTTTTTGAGGAAGTCAGTCTTTTTTTTTTCTTTCATGCCACACTTAACAGCGTGCACACACACACACACACACACACATACAAACAACCCACCTGGGCGGGCTGCTGTGATCTGAGATTCCCTCCCTTGTGTCTGATCTTTTAAAGACTGCTGAAGGGAAGAGTCCACCTAGACAAATTAAATGTCTTTCCACTCATTTCAGGCTACGATGGTGCAGCAGCAAGTTGTAGCAAGAGCCTGTTTGTTCGCAGGCGGCGTTATCATTTTTAGAAACCTTGCCAGGGCAGACGATGAAGGGGGGAGTTCGCCCTGACCAGAAAGCCTCGAGGCAGCCTGAGTCTCTCCTACCTTTTCCCTTCTACTTAGAGCAATTACAGGCCTGCACCCGCAACTATAATAATGGTATAATGGGATGGCAGCAGAGCAGCAATAAAAACCAGCCCTGACAGATTTAACAGTCCTCAAAGTGCTGAGCTGTAATTAACAATGAGACTGAAAGAGGAACAGAGAGAAAAGAAAGGGCCTCGATTGAAAGCTAGGAAAGATAAAGATAAAACGGTGTTGTGGAGGGATTTTAATACAATTACAACAAGCCTTAAACTAGGATGAGCCTAAGATCTTAACTAAAGCTGGATTTTGAAATCACTGGCATGAACTAATAGATTATCATCGTCTTCTATTACATCATTTTGATGTTTAAAGGTTTATTTTGGCATTTTCTGTGCGGTAAACGTTAAGCTACTGCTGATAGTCTGTCAGCTTAGTTTAGCAAAATGACTGGAATAAACTGGCTTTGTCCAAAGGTATCAAAACCCACCGACTAGAAACTCTAAAGCTCACTAATTACCATGTGATGTATCATTTGTTTAATTTGCATTAAAAACGGACATAAATCCCTTTAAACAGTAAATTGTTTTGTTTTTCAATGTATTTAACAAAAGAGATATCCCGTGTTATTTGAGCTTTTAAAGTGCTAGTTTGCAGATTTTGCTTTAACTTATGAAATAAATGTTCATTGCACAATGTAATGACTATAGCTTGTTGACACTATTACCGTTTACGTTGGTTCCCCATCTTCATTATGCAGTTCAGTCTGCCACCGGGTACGATCTGTGGTGAAAATGAAGGCATGATTTACGCCACAAAGGAAGCGCATCAACCATTGCAGAACCAAAATAGGAAGGGGACAGCAGCTAGCAGTTATTAAAGAATATCAATTGGAGGACTTGGCTCTGTAACTGGACGGTTACCATTCAAGGAGTAGCAGGAGAGGTGCCAGTGATTAAGGCACCAAACACCCAAACTGTTATGGTTCCTTCCTGTGAGGCATCTCTTCATACCTAACAGGTCCTACTTGTGTATTTGGGTGGAAAATGAAGTATACAATATAATTATTATGGAAGTTTTGCTGTTACTATCTCCAGTAGTGGAAATGTCAAACGGTGGAACAGCCGAGGAAACTGGAAAACAAAAATGCAGTCCGTGCGTTCCAATACTCTAGCATACTATTCAGTATGCCAGAAACGAATCAATATGTCACAATACTCAATATGTCAAATGCAGTTGGCCAAAAATACCAGGATGTTCTACTGCATCCAGTCTTATTTTGCAGCATGCAAGCCAGCATCCTTCTCTGGTTGTTCTGACCCACAATCCTCTGCGCAGCAGATACATGAGCAAGAGGGTCAAAGTTCAAGGTGAAGTCGTATTTCCCAATTGAAAGCATACTGCATGCAACAGTATGTGCTTTGTGAGGGCAGCTTCAGTACGTACTAAAAGTAAAAAGAAAATGATTTTGATTTGTAACAGTCGGTGTGTCCTGTTGTTGGTAGTTGCTAGGCTGTGAGGAAAACAAAGTGATCCGGTCGTCTTCACAATGACACCACTTGGAAACAGCTGAGCTAACCAACTGCTGGCCCAGAAGCTATATTAAGTTAGCAATCTTCTCATCTAAGAAGATGCATCGTTCCCAAAATGCTTTAACTATTCCTTTTGAGCCTGGCGTGTCCTCGGGGGATGTTTACCTGCGGAGAGAGAGCGGTGCATTTTTGTGGAGAGAAGAACTTGCAAAATGTGTGTGAGAGAGGAAGATGGCTCTTGCCTACATAATCACACACTCCCTTCACTTTGGTGGCAACCCGCCCCACCACCACCACCACCACCACCACCACCTCTCCTACATCCAGTCCCACCCTCCTCCTCCCTCTGTCTGAGCATTTCTCACTGAGGAGCTGCACAATAATGGAGTCGCATCATGCAGAAGGTCTCTGTGTTTTCAGACTGGAGTTCATCTAGACCGGGGATCTGTAATTTACTGTAAAGTTTCCTCTTTTTTAAATCCACAGCACAAGGACGTCTTTCATTTATTTTTCTGCGTCATGTCTTTTTATGTCGTCTGACTTTTTTCCGTGTTTTAATGTTTATGTGAGGGGGATTAACAGGCCCACCATGGTTTTCCCAACATAAATCAACAGTGTCTTTCTACGTTTTAGTGCAAGCAGCTTTCTGTTGACATATAACTGGGAATGAGAGGACCTTATTTGGGTTTTTGCTTTTTTTAAAGCTGCAACTAGATTTTCTGTAAGTGGGTATGGGCCAGTTTTTTGCTCCACAGATGGGTCTTTCGGAGGTGAAGGCACGTGAACCTGGCTGCACCAGATAGTGAAGCGAGCTGCTCAGGTTTTAGTTTGGAGGACTTGCGACATGGGCTGAGCTCTTGCGAAGAGTATTTTCTCCTGAAAGCTGTTGAATATTCCGAGGATGGACGACGGGAAACGGAAACGGATGAAACTTAATTTATCGGTTAAACTGTAATTAAATATATTCACCTTTTACGCACACGCGCTGGCACGGGGCGACAGCGGAGCTTTGGAGCGCACCAGATTGGAGTTCAAGCGTCGGCCATATTTCCAATCACTAAATGTGAGTTTTTTACTGTGGAGTTTGGTTGTAGTGTGATGTCATTTGTTGTTAGTTGTTTTTGTATGTATCTACGGATTCTTTATTTTGAATTTAACAACTTAAACTTAGATTAAAGAATAAAGGACAATGCGTGTTTGTATCTGTCTGGTGTTAAAATATGCAGGCGCATGTATGAACAATGTTATAGAATTACCTTAGCAGAATAAATGTTAAGTCAGCAGATGTGGTTTTCCTTTCCACAGAAAGTGGTTTTGACCAAAATAGCCCGTTGGAACTGTATATTGGGTTTTTTTGGGGTGGGCTTTATTTGATACCAGTATTTCTATGCAGTAGTTCAGTGGAGGGCATTGGTTTAACCCTCAGTTTTAAAGCACTTTACGGACAAACCTCTTAATCGTTGGTTTGGAGATTCAGCTTTAGTGACCCCAATTGTTTCAGCCGGATTTCCTCCACGACCGTTCAGAGATCTCCGTCCCTCAGTCTCCTCACCGGACAATGTGGGTGCCCCGTCTCGCGCTGCTGCTGCTCCGGTTCTCCGGTGTTTTGCTGGTGGAGGGGTTCAACACGTGCCACTCCATCAACCTGGACGCGCAGAAGTCCCGGCGCATCGAGGCGGTCCGCGGACAGATTCTCAGCAAGCTGCGCATCCGCAGCCCACCGAGCAAGGATGCGGCCCCGCCGCCTGGCTCGGTGCCCCCGGAGATCATGCTGCTCTACAACAGCACGCGGGAGCTGCTGAAGGAGCACAGGCGCCTGGCCGAGTCCGCGTGCGAGCGCGAGAGCAGCGAAGAGGACTATTATGCTAAAGAGGTGCAGAGGATTGATATGCTGCCCCCCCGCACCGACACAAGTGAGTCCATTTATGATGTATGAACAGTCTATGTGTATGACAAAGGTTCTCAAAGTGTGGTCCGGGGTCCTTACCGGTCACAGATAGGGGTCCAAACCCACCAGAAATGATCCAAATGACTTGATTTAATGGGTTTTCATTAAAACGTGTTTGTTTTTTCTTGGGACCCCTTCAAATAAACAATGTAAACCATGTCTATTTGTGGACCTTCATCACTGGTTTAACCTTAAAACACAACTAAAAAGTGTTTTTTTTCTTCTTAGATTGCTTTATTTGAAGGAGTTTTAGAGGCCAAAAGAGGTGAAAGTAGCATATCTAATATTTAATGAAAGAAATTGCTACAGCAGTCCATTTTTATAGATTAAACCTAGCGTTATCCTTTTTCTTTTATGTATCACATAATTAGAATGAAATGCACTGACTAAATAGGCATCAGTAGCATTTTCCATTTCCAATTCTGGGTTAAAAGTATCGGTTTGGGAAGAAGTATAAAGATCCTACTAAAGTTAAAGTATGTAAATAAAACAGCACCCTTTTACAAGGAGAAGTGTTGCAGTCAATGTCAATTTTTATATGCATGGTGGTTACTTAGTTTTGAGACATTCATCAGCAGTAATTATGTCCGAGACAATGCATCAGCCCCACAGAGCTTTTAACCAATACTATAAATATGACATTGTCGGAGAAGTCAAGAGATGTTGTTGGATCATTAGTCATACTTTTTTTTTTTTTTTTTTTTAATCCAGATGCGGTACAGCCTGCAACCCCCGACCCCCATTACAGAGTCGTCCACTTCGACGTGAGTGGAGTGGACCTGACCAACAGCACCCTGGTCAAGGCTGAGTTTAGGATCTTCAGAGCTCCGAACCCGCAGGCCCGGGCCTCAGAGCAGAGAGTGGAGATCTATCAGGTAAACAACAGAGTGATGGCTCAAAGCTCACCTGTTTACCACTTTAACTTCAGCAGAACCACCAAATTAGCATCACAAATAACACTCAGAGACACGATTTCTATGTCTTTTTAAGCTTTTACATCCAAATAAACATACATTTTCCACAATTATGAAGGAGACACTGAATCCATTCTTCTTTAAAATCACTTCAGGCCGTCTTTGGTGTAAAAGAAGCAGACGCAGGAGTTGTTCTTTTCTTTTGAAAAATGATTCTCACATCCAAAAGGTGTGACCAGGAATACCGTTTTAAATTTGTTTTTTTGGGTAGATTTTCCCTCCAGGAACACGGGCATCAGGTCAACAAGACAATTATCACAATAAATCTTCACAAATTAAGCAATATTTGTATTTTGACTTGACATTTCTCACCTCTCACAGAAATATGTTCGCCACAGGAAAGTGAGTAAACGTAATAAACATGCCTGATGACAGATTTGTAGGTTGTTATTGTTTTTTATGACACACAGTGTTTGGGCTCAGTGTTTGAGTGTGTTATGTAAAAATGTAGGAAGGTGAACTCGCTGTCCTCTTTACCACAGAGAAAATTATAACACTTACTGACTGTCTGCACGTCAGCTTCATCACTGTCTTTCTGTGTGTGTGTTTTTGTTTTAACAGCTACTGAAGCCAGATGAAGAGAGCACCTCCACTCAACGTTATATTGACTCCCGCACCGTTCAGCCGAAGGCGAAGGGAGCCTGGATCTCTGTGGACGTTACCGAAACCATTAAGGACTGGGTGTCAGATCCAGGTTGGCCTCAGCAGCACTTCCTTCACATAATGATTCATATACAGTATACACACACACACACACACACACTCCATCAGCTGATCTCAATGTGTGTCCCTCTACTGATCAGAGAACAATCTTGGCCTGAAGTTGGGCGTCCACTGTCCCTGCTGCACCTTCGTCCCGTCCACCAACAACATTGTTCCCAACAAGAGTGAGGAGCTGGAGGCTCTCTTTGCAGGTTTGTTGCACTTGTTTTTTTGTTTTTTTTTCAAAGTCTATCATGTTAGCCGAGTCTTGGTACTCATACAAGTAAGTGCAGAGTGGATGACTAACCCTCCGTGATTACATCTTCAACTGCATTTATATTTTGACTTGAGGGGAAATTGTCCCTCCTCTTACAACAAAATGCTGAGTTTAACCTCCTTTTTCAGAGACGTTATTTTGAACATGATGATTTGAGACTTTGCTGAAGTCTCTGTAGATGTTGTTTGTTTGTGGATGACTGGTCAGAATGCAACATGAATTGTATTTCAGCTAAATGCGAAAATTAACTACTACATATAAACAAATAAATACACACACATGACAGCCAGTGTGTCAAAGATTGAATGTTAAACATAGCCTCAGTTTTATCTGAATGGTCGCTGAGAAGACAAATTGAACAGGTTGCTTATAAATAGCTCTGTGCAGCCATTAAAAGCACTTGTGTAAGATTTATCAGCACAGCAATAATCCTGCAGGCGCCTCCCAAAAGATGATGAAACGGTGATCGTACAGGAACAATGGAGACACTGTTCTTCCACACTCTGTAAAGCTGTGGAAGGACTGGCTGTGTTGCTTCATTTAGGCCCCAAATTATGTCTCTCCTCAAGATTTACACTGAGTTGGGCAAAGTCTGTTTTTTTACCACTTGGAAAAAATATCAACTTTTGAAACTAATACAAGCCGGGGCTTGTATTGAGCTCAGAAACCCCACGAAATAGGTTGCCTTTAGGAAACAACTATGTATATATATATGAATGTGTGCGTGTGTACTGTACTCTGTAGTAGGAATTCAAAGGTGTAACTCGGTAGTTCACAACCTTTTGGGCATTGAACCCTTAAAACAAAGCAATGTCTACTCACAAACCTTTGTCACAGACTGCATTTAACTTCCACTAATGAGTGATGTTGCTCTTTCAGATTGTTTCATTTGAAAAGTTTTTACAGCATCAAGAGTGGAGACTATGCAAAAAAAATCAAAGCTTAAAGAAATGTCCTCAAAGATAAAAACACTCACAAACATTTCATTTTGTGTTGATCGTTGTGTGACCCCTCAGGTTTATCCTGCGACCCCTTGGGGGGTCCCGACCCCCAGGTAGAGAACCACGTGTTAACTGTTACACTGCTCTACGTAGGTGTGGATGACGAGCAGCTTCGTCAGCTAAGAAAGCCCGGTCCGGTTAAAGGCCAGGCAGACTTCAGCACCAAGACGCCGCACCTCATCCTCACCGTGCTGCCCAGTGACAGAGTGGACAACCCGGCCAGGAAGAACCGCAAGAAGAGGGCGGCCGCCACAGAAACCACAACCTGCTCCCGGTAGGCCGCCAACCGGCCGTGTGTGTGTGTGTGTGTGTGTGTGTGTGTGTGTGTGTGTGTGTGTGTGTGTGTGTGTGTGTGGTTATGTGTGACTGACTGACTGACCGCACTGACATGTAGTTTCATCATTCTAAACTCTAGTTGTGGTGGG